TTTTCCTTTTCCCAGGCCCTGGAAATAGAAATCAGCTGCAATTGCCCAGTATGTGTGCAGGTGACTGGGGATGGGCAGGTATCTGGAGCACCCCCTGACTACGCTTCACTCTAGGACCTGAGGGGGTGGCAGTCCTGACCACTGAGAGGAATCCCCACCAGCCACTCTGGAATCAGCTCAGCAGGCCAGCCTGAGCTTTGGGGGGCCTGAATGGGCCCGGGACCAGCCCCTGGCTATTTGGGGAAGAGGCAGAAGTGGGCCAGACCAGCCAGGGCCTGAAGTCACTGTCTATTTGAGGCAGCTGCCCCTCCCCATGTCTTGGGGCCTGGCAACGGGGGGCCTTAAGTACCTGGCCTCAGGGCCCGGCAGCACTGGCAGCACAGCCCCAGGAAGGCAAGATGCAGCCCACAGCTGCTCGCTCTGCCCAAGGAGCCTCCGAGCCCCCAGGACCCATCAGCTGCAGGGGGCCCCAGAGGCCGCCCTGCTGAGATGTCACCCCCAGAAGGTGCTGCCCTTTTCACGGTGTTAGCTGTCCCTACATAGAGAGAAGGACAGTGAACAGTGTGCTGGGTAGGAACAGTGCTGGCCTCTGTGGCTGATGGAGCCACTGTCCTTTCTCTCAAGGCTCCAGGGTCTGACGGCTCCTCCAGAGGCCATGGCTGGCCTGGCAGGGCAGAGCAACTCACCCCAGTACTGGCCCCTTTCAAAGCATTGAGGGTGTCCTCACCTTCATCCTCCACGGACATCCTCCAAAGAGCCTCTCCCAGCCCAGAAGCAGGGCACTCTGGGGATGAGAAGAGAAGGCCCCAGGCCCCTCCTCCCACGGAGACCACCTTCTTACCCCCAGCCTGCCTGCCCTGTAGGCCACAGTGGGAATGCTCAGCCCACCACTTCCAGCCTGTGGTGGAGCCTCAGACCACAAACCAGGAAGTGGGGGGGGGTGGGGGGAAGGGGGGGCAGAGGTTGTGCAAGGCCCTGCACTCAGGCTGGAACATCTGGAGAAGGGGTTGCTGGCTCCAGCCCTACCTCCTCCTGGGCTGTCCTCCAAGCCTCTCTTTCCTCATCTTCAAGTTGGGAAAAAGATGTCCTTCTGGGAATGTGTGGACTCCCCATGATTTCTACAAGAACCATGCACTATTTGTGAAATCAAAATGAAAATGAATACAAAACCGCACCCACCCTGCCCCTGCCCCCACCAGGGGGACTGGTCCAACTGTAGCCTCAGTTTCCCTGCCGGAGCAGGGAGAGGGGGAAGGGAGGAGGGAAGGGAGGTTGGGCACACAGGAAGGCAGGAGGGGGAGTCATTGTTCGGACAGAATGGCTGCAGCGGGTAAGGAGGAAAGAAAGGGGTGGGAGTCACATCCAGGCCCGCCTCACAAGCACTCATTGACGACACACTGCCCACCCCTGGAAGGAAGCGGCACAAAGTGCCACAGACAGCTGGGTGGCTTCCAGCAGGCAGCTGAAAGGCTGCTGCCCCTCCCTCCGCAGGAAGTCCTGGTTGGGGCCCTGGGGGGAGCGGGGAGTACAGCTGGGCCTGGGCCTGGGCTGGAGTTGAGCTCCTGGGCTGGTCCAAGGAGGAGGAGGAGGAGTTGGAGACCAGGGTTCTCCCAGCTGGACTTGCCCTTAGACCAGGTGCCACACTTGCTCATCCCAGGGCCCCAGTCACGTGGCCCGTCAAGCACCTCCCCCCCACACACACCATCCTTTGCCCAACTGTTCTCCAAGGCCCCACGGGTACCCCTCACAGGGCCAGGGTGACACAAGTCAGACAGCTCAGGACATGGTCCAGGGCAGGGGCGTTCCCCCTGCTGCCCCAAAGGGCAGTGGCATACCTCACACTGCCCCCAGCCATTGCCCTTCAGGAGGGGTGTTCCTGGGTCCCCACAGCCCTCCTGCTTGCCTCAGCCTCTTCAGGAGGCTGGCCATGCTCCAGCAGGCCCACCCCTGGACCTGGGCGGGCTCCTCTCAGCATCCTTCGGTGGTGGGAATGGTGGGGGCCCCACTGCAGACACAGAATCCCAGGACCCATCCATATTGTGATGGGAGTGGTGGTGCTTCCAGAAAGGCCTGGGTCCACTTCCAGGACAAAGTCTTCCTGGCCCCCTCCCCCGACCTATCTGTCCCCCCCACCCAAATGCTCCGCAGGTATGGAGCAAGTAATGCCCCTCCGCAGTCCCAAGGACCAGGGGCTCCGACACCACCTCCCTCACGCACACTCCACGCGCACCCCACCGAACCGTCTGGGGCACCCCCAAGCCACTACACCCCCAGCCGGGGCCCCTCTAGGGCCCAGTCAAGGTTCACAGGGGCCAAGCCTCTTTCTTGGTGGTCTGACCACAAGCTGGAGGTCACCAGGTGGGGTGAGCGCTGCGACTGCGGCGGGACCAGGGTGCAAGTGGGGCGGGGGGCATGTCACTGGGAAGGGCGCGGGACGGAGGGCTCCCCTCCACCCCAGCTGCCTGCTCCCCCTCCTCACACCACAACTGTCCCAGCAGCCCCGGGCCTTTGTCCCGGATGGGAGGTAGGGCGCGGGGCAGGGGCGACGGCAGGGAACTCCGATCGCTAGCCCGGCCCCACCCCCGGGGCGGATCCGCGCCTGCGCCCGCCCCCTCCCCCCCGCCGGGCTTCCGTCCTTCGCGCAGGCGCCGGCTCCAGCCCCGGACCCGGCGGCGCTTCCGGGTGGGCGCTGGGGTTCGCTCCGCGCCGGGCTGGGCTCCGCGCCGGCAGGTACCGGCTTCGAGAGCCCTGACGGAACTGCCGGTTGCCTGCCTGTGATAAAGCTCTTCCATGAGTATAAACTGCTTCAGTCCTGTGAGTTCTTTCAGAGATGATTAATGGGTAACTAACAGAGCAAGGGTGAGAAGGGACTTCAGATACAAACCATTCTGCGGCCTGACGGGTGGGCGCTGGGGTTCGCTCCGCGCCGGGCTGGGCTCCGCGCCGGCAGGTACCGGCTTCGAGAGCCCTGACGGAACTGCCGGTTGCCCGCGCGCCGCGGGGCCCAGGTGAGTGCGCGCCCAGGTGAGCGTGCTCGTCGCCGGACGCACGGCCGAAGGACTGGCTCGGGGGCGGTCCCCCCGGAGTCGCACCGCCACCGCAGTGAGCCCTGAGTGGGAGCCAGTAATGTGCGCACGGGCCGCCCCTAGGCGTCTGCAGTTTCCAGACGAGCGCCTGACGGCGGGGTTGGGCCGGCTTGGCTGCTCCATTTGCCAGAAACAAAGCCGAGGCCCGGCCCGAGGTCGCCAGTGAGGTCTGAGAGGAGCGCCCGCCACCGGTTTCCTGCTTACGTGCTGGGCGCTCAGCCTGGCTCAGACGCCCCCTGCTCCGAGCCTGCCTGCCGCAGAAATGACCATAGGGTTGCCTCGAGGGACCACGTCCCCACACTCCTCCCTTCAGTGTCTGTCCCACACGGATAAATGCTCTCCCTCTATTTACTAACCCACTGTCTGCCCAGGTTTTGATGGAGGACTGGCGGGTCCCTTGGGTGCCCCCATCCAGGCTGCTGTTTTCTGCCCTCCACTGGCTGGGCCCAGCCAGGGAAGAGACCCTTGTCCCCAGGTTTTGCGTTTCTTCTTAACATTGGTGAGTGCTCGCTGTACCCAGACAAGTGCTTACCCGGCTTCTCATTTTATTCTCAGAACCATCTTGTATGACAATGTTGGTTCCCTTTCTGCAGATGAAACAGGCACAGACACCTTAGGTCACTTTCTGGGGCAGTGGTCACTCTTGGGTGCAACGGCAGGGTCACTCCACTCTTCAGCTTGAGGCAGGTTCAAATCCTAGGTCTGCAGAGGGGGAGACAAGGCCTCTCTGAGCCTCAGTCCCAGGGCATCTGCATGAGCACCCCCCACTGCCCAGGGTGGGTCAGGGCAGAGACCCAGCGCCACCCCAGAGCCTCGGGGCAGGCCGGGGGCCAAACCTGGGCGGAGAACAGGGGCCGCAGCGTCCTGGAGTCAGCCTGTGGTGGGTGTTGGCAAATGCACCTGGCTGCAGACATCCATTCTCAGCAGGCTGGCAGCTCTGGACAACATAGAATGTCAGCACTTACGCTAAAAATAATGCGTCTGTCACATGCCAGGGAGGTACGGGAATCAGCCCCTAAGGAGGGTGTTTCCAGGCCCCAGTGCTCACCTGCTGTTCCTTTCCTTGGAGAGCAGCTGGTCCCAGAACGGCCAAGGGTGTGTGGTCAGGTTTCCCAGGCCCTGTGGCAGCAGGTGGGAGGCAGACAGTGTGCTGGTCTCTGCAGATCCTCCTCATTCCTCACACCTCACTTTTGCCTCACTTATCCTTATTCTGACATCCTGGGTCATGAGACAGGACAGCTGGGGACTCATTGGGGGTCATACCCTGAGCGCTTGGGATGGGGCCAAGTAGACAGTCTGCCTGGTGCTCACCCATGTGCGTGTGTCAGGCCTTCTGGGCCATTCTAGGAGGGGTCTGGCACAGTGGGAGCCCTGCCAGCATTGGGGAGGGGTGTGGATGACACAGTGACCCACAATCCGTTCCTCGGCCAGGCCCCACTGAGGTCACAGCTGTTTTAAAATTCCTGGTTAGGGGCAGGTGCAAAGGGAAGGGTTCCAGAAAGAAGCTCAGAAGTTCATTTGGAGACCACGTGATGAGTGGCAATCAGAGGGCAGCAGCCCTCCTGTCCCAGGCTTGGGTGCCACTGTCCCCTCCCCAGGCCCTGCAGCCCTTTGCCACTCCTGCTTGTGGATGGCACGTGCAGCAGAGTGGCTACCAGTCACTGCTGCCACCAGCCTGCCTTCACGTGCCGTCATTTCCCAAGTCTTCCTGGGTCCCAGCGCAGGGCTGAGCATGCCAGGTATGGCTCAAGTATGGCATTCTGTTTGCACAGGCTGGTTGCCCTCTTTTTGCATATGAGGAGACAGGCAGGCAGTTGAATGAGTCCTTGAGCTCCTGACTTCACTGCACAACCATCTATCCTCTCCTCTTCAGACCCTTTATCTTGTCCTTTCCCGTTTCAGCTTTCCTGAAGAATGGGGCAAAAAAAGCAGCGACTGTTGGAGGCCAAGCGGCATCAGAGCCCGCCAGATGGGACCCGGACAGCTTCCCCCAAGGAGCCCCGCTTGGAGCCACCCACGACCCTCGGCCCCCAGCGCAGCATCTATTTCTCAAGCCTAAAGGGCCGCCCTGCTCGCCTGGGATCAGAGTTTTTCGACCAGCCCGCAGTCCCCCTGGCACGGGCATTTCTGGGACAGGTAATGGACATGTAGCGGCGTGGCCTCTGCTGAAGGGTCATCACCGTGCAGCGTCTGTGGGCTCCAGCCCTCTCCCTCCTGGGCTCACGTCCCTGACTTGGCCCTGCGTGGCCGCGTGCAGTCAGCCGCTTTGCCCACATTTGCTCCTGGGTAGCTTCACCTCAGTCATCTGGGGCAGCCTCTGGGTCCAGGGTCAGCTGGGAAGGATGCCAAGGTTTTTAGGGGTGGCTGCCTGCTCTGGGCAGTGAGGACGGGGCAGCTACAACATTAGCCTTCCCCCTGGGGCTGTGGGAGCATTACCCCTGGTCCACCTGGGATTGCCCTCAGGGCAGGTTTCTTATAAGGACCACGGTCAATGCTGGCCCCCCTGTCTGTGAGGGGCTGCTTTTGCCTGCCCCGTTGCCTGACACAGTCAGTGCCCCTGCTGGAGCTTGTCTATGTGTGTAGCAGCTTTAGACACATGGCAGCTGAGGCCATGGCCTACAGGCTGCCCAGCATCAGGATTGTCTTGATGAAGGACAACCTCCTTCTCCCCACAGTGGCTCACAGTGCCAGAGCTGGCTTCCCAGCAGCCCCTGCAGCTCCAAGTTCTGGGGTGGGAAGCAGGACCGCCCAAGGCACTTGGGGGTGGAGCCCGTCACCATGTTGTGTGTACATGGCATGTGCCGCAGCAGCAGAGTTTTGGCCACATCCATCTGGAGTACCATCTGGCTAGGCCTGGCTTTCTGGTCCTCCTGGAGGTTCCATGGCTACGCTGTGTCCTTTAGTGAGCCTACTTTTAGGTTAAAATGGCCAAGGAGAGTCAGTTTCTGTGGCTAATAGAAAATTGGTGCCAGGAACAGATCCTAAAATGTGAGCTAGTGGAGTGTGACCTAAAGTGTGACCTCATTGAGAAGCGACCAGAGTCTCTTCCCATGAGGATGCTTTCAGCTGCAAGAGCCAGAAGGTCCTTGTAAAAGCACCTTAAGTCAGGAGAGGTTATGATCTCATGTAAAAGGGCACATGGGGCAGGTGGGCCCAGCATCAGGTAGAGGGCCCAAGGGCCTCAGTGTGTCACAGTCTCCCCCTAGGCTCCCCGAGGCTCGCATCACGCCTGTTTGAGCCCGAGGGTAGACAGGGCGATGTCCAGCAGAGAAGGGAGGGTCTCACCCTGTATGTGCCTTTGGTTAGGGAGGAGAGCCTTTTTCATTACCCCTCAGTGGACGTCCTCACAGACCTCTTGACCAGCCTTGGTCATGCACTCATCCTTAAGCAGGTCACTGCGAGGAGCAATGAGTTGCCATGACAACCCAGACCACTCTTGTGTCACCCTTTCAGCTGAGAAGGGTCTTGCCTCTCTCGGGACCCTCCACCAGCAAGGAGGAGATGCATATAATGGGGGTGAGGGGCAACCACCATCTGCTATCTGGAAATGATATCAGTGAAATTCAGGACAGGAAAGAAGACGGTGAGGAAAGGGCTGTGGGAGGCTCCTCCCCAGGCCCCATGGAGGTGTCAGGCTGACAGGGAATGCTCCCTCTCATATCCTGGGAAGATGGGAGGGAGGCCTCATCTGAGGTGCTCTGGCCAAGCCCACCTGTGCACACATATAGGAATTTGTGGGCTTTGTCTCCAGGAAGGCCTCCTCTAACCCTTACCCCCGAGTCCAGCCCCCAGCACACCCCTCCCTGCCCCCATGACACTGACCCTGGCCGCAGACACATTGAGCTCCGTGGGCTAAGGCATGGTGGCCTGACCATCCAACTTGCCTAAGGCTCTGGCCTAAGGACAAGGCAGGTGCTAGGGACAGCCCTGGTGAGGTGGCTGGCCCCTGAAACTCCACTGTGAACCCTGGTTGAGTCAGACCTGGGGCTCCGGACACTGGGCATGACTGCTGGCCATTCCTGGAGCCGTACCATGGTGATGCGTGGCGAAGGGCAGAGGGGCTCCAGGCGGGGGAGGACTCAGCTCCCGGGGTACTCAGTGCTCTGCAGGCCCTGCCTGGCTCTCCTGTGGCCTACTCTGTTCTCCTAGGTGCTCTGCTGGCCTGAGAGCACACACCCCTCTGGGGTCAGCCCCTGACAACTGCCCCCTGCCCTGTCCTCGGCTGGCCCCTCTGTCCCCTCCTGTACCCACCCTGCCCAGGGTGCTGTCCGAGGCAACCGTCGCCAGGCTTGCCTTCCTGGCCTGCTGCCTGCGCTGACCCACTCCTTGTGGAGCTCGTTACCCCCAGGGCCGTGGGCCAGGCCTGGGGCACTGCTGGGCAGCTGGTCCTGCTGCTTTCAGAGTTGGCTGGGTGGGGCTGAGTGTGACGGTCCTTTGCAGTTAGTCCAGGGGGAGGGGGCTCCACAGGCTCTGGAATCCCAGGCAGGGCCCTGTGCCCTTCACACTGCTCGGCCCCAGGCTAAGCTTTAAGTCCAAGGGGACCCTGCTGAGAGGAAGGGTGAGAATTCACTAGTGCTGGTGCCCAGCCCAGGCCTGGTCGGCCTGAGGTGGCTGCACCCTGTGGACAGGACACTTGGTGAGCAGGGCCTGTGGTCCAGTGGTCCAGCAGGATGGAGGGGATGGTGGGGAAGAGCCAGCTGTACCTGGGTGTCCTGTACCTGTACACCCTGAGCTGGGGAGATGAGTCCAGGCTGTGGACTGTCAGGGTGGAGCAAACCCGGCTCCTTCCTACGCTGAGCAGGTCTTGGTCCGACGGCTGGATGATGGCACAGAGCTCCGTGGCCGCATCGTGGAGACTGAGGCATACTTGGGGCCAGAGGATGAAGCTGCCCATTCGAGGGGCGGCCGGCAGACTCCCCGCAACCGCGGCATGTTCATGAAGCCAGGGACGCTGTATGTGTACCTCATCTATGGCATGTACTTCTGCATGAATGTCTCCAGCCAAGGTGAGTGGTGCTGGGGCTTGGGGAAGCAGGAGGCCTGGGCAGAGCCCCCTCAGCTGGCAGACCCCGGGAGGACCAGGTTGGCTAAGTGATTGAGCAGGGGGTTCCCTTGCTAGGCTAGGTGAGGGTTTCAGGAGCTTTGGCTGCACGGATGGTGGTTAGAGGTGCCGGGGGCCCCACAGAATAGAGGTCATGGGTTGACTTGAACACAGAGCACATGGGTTCACGAGCCCACCGCTGGCCCCAGAGCTCAGTGCTGGTGTCACTGCTGGCCCAGAGAGGACTCGGGAGGGGCTGATGTGGGGAAACAAGAGTGAGATCGATTTGGGGTGAGCTGGGCTCAGGCAGGAGCCTCGCCAGGTGGCCAGTTATGGGGTCTGGGTCAGTTGTTCTCAACTGGGGATGATACTGCCACCCTGGGGAACATTAGGCAATGTCTGGAGACATTTTTGGTCATCACATCTGTGGGGATGCTCCTGGCCTCTAGTGGGTGGAGGCCAGGGAGGATGCTCAGCAGTTCACAATGCACAGGATGGCCAACTCCACAGAATCATGGCCCCAAAGGTCAGTGGTGCTGATGGGAGAGATGCTGGTCTAAAGCTCCCGGGAGGGTCCACGCACCTTGGGGGACCCACTGGGTCTTTCGTGGGTAGGCAGCTGTGTTTTCCGAGTGGTCTGTGCTGGGAAGGAAGTGCCCAGCACCGCCTTGCCAGAGCCGCTGCTGACCAGCAGTGGTGGGTGGGGTGGGGGGTGGTCTGCCCAGCCCACTCTGGCTAGCCAGTCCTAGCGTCCATCTGCCGAGCCTCCCGCTGCCGACGCAAGATGAATGAAGGCTCGAGGACAATAAGGGGCTGCCGGTCACACACGTGGAAGGATTCCATTAATGTGTGAGTTGTGATTGCCCAGAATAGACAGCTGGGGATGCCTAATGCCAGAGCCACAGGGCCAGAGGACACAGGGAATCCACAACTGGCCCTGTGCCCAGCAGAAGGCAGGTGCTGTGTGAAACTGGGTGACAGGGACTGCCCCCGAGGGCCCTGTTATCAGGCGCAGAGCTTATTCCGGTCGCTAAGCTTTTCTTTGGCGTTAGCACCAGCCCCTCACGTGAGAGGAGACTGCACTTGGACAAGGGGCTGCAGTCAGTGAGGAAAGGGAGGAGCCCAAGTTTCTGCGGGTACAGCGGACAGAGCAGATGTGGGAGGTGGTGTGTTACTTTCTGGTTACGTGACCAGGATGCCCCAGGAACGTCGAGGTTAGGGGAGCAGAAAACCACATGGGTACAGACAGGGCCAGGGGTCATCCAGGTGGAGTGAGGGAGAGGGGCAGCTGAGACAGTCCTTGCCTGTGGGTTGGAGGCCGTGCAGAGACCGGGACTTGGGGCTGTGCGGTTGGTGCAGGCAGACGGGGTTGGTGGGGGGTGATGGGGAGGCCTGGTGCGACGAGGTAGGGGTGTTCTGTTTGTCAGGAGTCTGGACTCAGGTGCATCCCAGGAGAGGAGGGGTCAGCTACTCCTCCAGACCTGTCTGCAGGTGGTACCCACTACGCTCAGGATGGAACCAGAGGGAGCTTTGAGGCCAGTGAGGGGAGCTACCCGGGAATCACAGAGTGACTAAAACTCAAGGCTTTAGGTGCCCTTGGGCACATCCTGAAGTGCTTTGAAAGCTGGCTGGTTAAGGGACGTCTGGTCGCACACATCCCCACACTTGCTGGCTGTGCAGGAGGCCAGCTCCTAGGTGCTGATGGGAAGGCCTGTGTGGCTGAGGCCTGAGAGAGGGACTGGCCTGGCCACGCCTCAGGCTGAGCCCCTCAGACTCCCAGCTAGTGGGTGGGCTGAGAGTCAGGGGAGCAGGTGTCCCAGGACAGTGGCCTTGCTGGAGGGTCAGGGCGCCTCTGTCCAGGGCGCAGGGAGTAATCACTGTCCCCAGCCAGGAATCCAAGGGGATCTGGACAGATGTGTCTTCTCGAGGGAATCCCTGGGCCTGGGTGTCTGCTTGCCGTCCCACAGGTGGCCTGAACTGGTTGGGGAGGGGACCCCACGGAGGTGGGGGGCTATGTCGGTACCTCCTGCTCTGTCAGTTTCCGCACTGGATCCTAGGGTGGGGCTCACCTGCATCCTGTGCACACAGGTGGCTGCTCCAAGCCAGGCTTCCAGCTTCCCCAACAGCCAGTGGGGGAGGTGGTTGGGGGACCCCGGGGTTTTCTTTGCTGACCTCACAGAGGGAGCTAGGGAGCTCCATGCCTCCCCAGCTGGTGCCTTGTGGGTGCAGGTGTGCGGGAGGGGGAAGCAAGCAGAGGGTTTGGATGGTGAGTGAGCACAGGTGTCACCCCCAAAGCTTTGGTCGGGCCTTGGGTAGCGGGGCGACAGCCTGGGAGGCTTCATCTCTTCCACAGGTGATGGGGCATGTGTCCTGCTCCGAGCGCTGGAGCCCCTGGGGGGCCTGGAGGCCATGCGGCAGCTTCGCCACACCCTCCGCAAAGGCGTTGCTGGACGAGCCCTCAAAGACCTTGAGCTCTGCAACGGTCCCTCTAAGCTGTGCCAGGCCCTGGCCATCGACAAGAGCTTCGACCAGCGGGACCTGGCCACAGACGAGGCTGTGTGGCTGGAGCAGGGCCCCCTGGGGCCCAGTGAGCCAGCTGTGGTGGCAGCAGCCCGAGTGGGCGTTGGCCGTGCAGGAGAGTGGGCCCTGAAGCCCCTGCGCTTCTATGTGCAGGGCAGCCCCTGGGTCAGTGTGGTAGGCAGAGCGGCCGAACGGGACACACAGGCCAGAGCAAAGGCCAGCCGGGATGAGGATTTTTAATTGTTTAAAAATGAAATAAATGCTGTGCTTATAGAAAACAGTGTCATTTGTGTCTCGGCTGGAGCCCCTGTCGGTGGCCAGCTCGTCTCTGTGGGAGGACCCGGGGCCAGCAGGTGCACTGCCTCCTCAGGCCTGAGGCAGCCGTGTGTGGGGAGCCGCGGTGCAGACACTCCCCACCCCCACCCCCACCCCCGGCCAAGGGGAAGCTAAGACAGCTGCGGGACACCGTTAGCCCAGGGCCTCGTGCCTCAGGTGGCACGGGGGCGACCGCTTGGCCATGGCCTCCTGGTGGCTAACACAGGACTGTGCTGGGGGGAGGGGCTGGGCCAGGCACCGGCAAGCTGCGGGGAAGGGTGCCTGCAGGCGGCCAGTGCTGGCCATACAGGCCAGGCCAGGCCCTCGGACCTGAAGCTCTGGACGGCCCAGGCCCGGGGAACATGGGAGGGGGAGCGGGCCTCTGAGAGAAACACGGGCCAAGTTGTTGGTGTGGGCAGCATGCAAGCCTCACTCAGAGGCAAGAGTCCTGGACGCTCTCCCAGCTCGAGCCTCACCTTCTCAGCTCAGAGCCCCTGAGGCTGTTTCCAGGACTGGAGGCAGGTGAGGATGTGGAGAGCAGGGGCCCCATGGGGAGGGAAGGAGCCTGCGGGGGGGAGGCTCCCTCCGGTGCCCCAGCTCAGGTGAGCAGGGCCTGGAAGACAGTGATGACCGGATCCTCGTGGGTGGTCACCACCAGGACACTGCGGAACTTGTCCACCAGCGCGAGCAGCTGGGAGCGCCGCGTGTTCTCGTTGTACATGATCTCCTCCAGGTGGTGGCGGCCGCGGAAATAGTGCAGGAGCCTGGGGGTGGAGGGTGGCCATGAACACAGCTACAGGGCTGGCGGCAGGGGGCGTCCTCAGACAGGCCCCTGCCCCAAGCCGTGCCCTGGACCCGCCGCCCACCGTGGCCCCGGAAATGTCACCCTGCCTCAGCGCCCTGACGGAGGTGAGGGCAGTGCAGGGTCAGCTGGCAGCTTCTCTGCTTCATGCTGCTGTGGCTCTTAGGGCACCTCGGCTGGGGGCTCAGTCCCTGACAACCTGGCGCTCCCAGAACACCATACACCCAGTGCACCCAACTCAGGGTTGGGTGTGACAAGTCTGTGTCACCTGTGGCGTGGAGACCAAGGGCCCCACCTGATCCCCATGAGGACAAGAACTTGCTGCTGTTTCCCAAGACATGACAAGAAACACCCAGGAAGTACAGAAGAGACCCCCACATGCAGGTGCCAGGTAGCGACGGCTGTGTACTGGAGATGCCGCCTCAACCAGTGAGGGCTGTTTGCCATCGGGATTTAAGCTGAGATCCACTTTCTGTCCTGTCCCTAGATGTGGCCCCTGCTCCACCTGGCAAACATGCGGAGGTCCTCAGGGTTCTGTGCCGCGGGCACGCTGAGGATGGCTGCCCGTTCATGCTCAGACAGGCTGGCCAGCAGGTTCTCCGTCATCCTCCTGTTGAGTGGCGAGTCCCCACTGGGGAGCAGCTCTGCACTGGAGTTGTCCATGCTGGGGCTGGTGAGGGTCATGTCATCACTGCTGGCTGAGGACGGGCACAGTCAGGGAGCGGCTGCCCCCAACCCCACGAGTCACCTGCGCCCACCTGGGAAATAACTGCTGTGCCCTTGGGGAGCAGCCCCTCACCCCAAGGCCAGCCTGGTCATCCAACCCCTCCCACCCACTCAGAAGACAGGAGCCCTGGGCAGGCAGGTCCAGCACTGAGCCTGATGTCCAAGGCCCCGCCTTATCCTGGGGAGGTGCCTCCCCCTAAGCCTTCCAGCCCCTCGTCTTCCCCAAGCCAGGGACCTGGGGGCTCGGGGCTGCCGCCTTAGGGGGCACACCGTGGCCAAAACAGCTCCTTCGAAAAGGGACTATGACAGTCACTGTCTCCTCAGGCCCTGAGCATGGAGGTTTCAACGGTCCTCCCAGGGACAGGGTGTGGTCTGCTCTGACCCCAGGCTGGGCCAGGCTGCTCCTGACTCAGCGAGGTAGAGCCTCGTCCTCAGGGAGGCGGGGGAGGGGACCTCCCCAAGGGAGAGCTGCCCAGCTGGGCAAAGTGGCATCCTCGGGGATACAGCTGCCCATGGGCACTGTGTGTGCACGTTTTCGAGTGCAGCCCTGTGAAGGTGCTGTGGTCATTACCTGAGGCGCCCAAACTGGGCCTCCTGGCCGCCTGCCTCTTCCAAGGGCGCCCAAGGTGCTCACCCCCCACCAGACAGATGCCCTGGGCAGGGGGTCCTACTTGGGGAGCCAAAGCTGAGGGCGTTGGGCGTGCTGAGGCTGCGGCCGCCAACCCTGGTGGTGAGGGGCACATCATCCTCCCGGGGGCGGGGCTCGTCCTCACTGGGCGAGGCCATCAGGCAAACGTAGGTGTGCAGCTGGACCAGGAGCCTGCGCTGCAGCATCCACACCACCATCTGGATGAGCTGCGTCTGCAGGATGGGCAGGCCTGAGACATGACCCCCAGGTCACCCCGGAGGTCAGGGTGAGGCCCCACACCTCAAGAGAGGGAGCGCCCAGCTGCCAGCCGCTCTGCAACCCCAACTCCCACCCAGGGGAGGCAGCGGGGCCACACCTGCCCTTGCTCCATCATACGCCCGGGCTGCCCACGGCTGTCCTTTCTTGCCCAGAGCTGAGGAGCAGGACCTGTGACGCGAAGGACCTGCTCTGCCTCCTCTTCCCCAGCCCACTGGCCTCTGTGGGGACCCTGGACACTGTTCAGAAAGAGGCTGCTGGCAGCTGCCCTGAGAGCAAAAAAGTCCTCCCCTTGGGTCAAACTGAAAGCCCGCCCGGGGACCGGGAAGCCTGTGCAGGTGGTGCTCCAGCAGCCGTGAGTGGGGGTGTGTGTGCACATGGCGTCCACGTCCTCAGACCCACACACCCACCTGCTCATCCCTGGGGGTCCCTTGCTGGGAGGGGCTGGCTGACCAGGCATGGAAATAGGGGCATACGTGACCCAGTCACACCAAAGAAAATTGAAAAGGATTGTAAAAATTAAATTATGAGGGACTTCCCTGGTGGTCCAGTGGTTAAGACTCCTTGCTCCCGGGCTTCCCTGGTGGCGCAGTGGTTGGGGGTCCGCCTGC